AAAAAAATCATTCGTAGAATTTTAATGAAAAATTGACCACGTTACAATTTTACGTTTACGATCAATTGGTGCTACGAGTATCAAATAATGAGATATATATAATTTTTTTAATAAATAATATATATTGATTAATAATATACCCTTTATTATATTATTTTTGTAGTTTCAAAATATTAAAAACATATTTTAGAATCATAATGTAAATTTAAAATATTTTTTAGTACAACGAATGCGGGAATGGAGAAGGAGCAAGATGTTTATAAGTGTTTTCTCTTTTCTAATAAATAGAAACAAAAGAAATTGTGTTCGATAATTGTTTATGATTCTTTATTTGCCTTTAATGGAGACAATAAACAAAAACATGTAGTAATCAATATGTTTTTTTTGAATTATAAATTAAAGAAAAAAGAAAATTTTTTATATGAAAATTAATTTTGTTAAATTAAATATTCAAATTTGTCAATCTTATATTTACTCTTTTAATATTTATCATGCATTTATAATGGCAAGATAATACTTTTAGTGATGTTTTGAAAAAGAAAAATTGAGTCAAGAGAAAAAAATTTGAATTTGGTAATTCCAAAATTGGTACAAACTTCTTTAAAACGAAAAACGAGAAACATGTAATTATAAACAAACAATAAAAGGAATTGTTACCAAACAAGCACTTACAAAACTAATCTCCCATTGAAAAAAAGAAAAAAAAAACATAAAAAATACAGGAAACAAACATAATTTTTAATAATAAATTACTAAAATCAAAACCATCATCAAACAAATCCTTAACTTTTAAAATAGACAGATGAATTTAAAAGGGAAAAAATATCTTTAGATTTAATTTCACCACATATGACGTGACATAACATCATACAGAGTTGAATAAAATGTGAGACAAATCCAGGTTGGATTAAGGAGTCATGATGAACAAATATCCAAAACAAAAAGTGGAAAAAAAGAACAAAAGAACAAAAGTTTGAGCAAGTCGTGAATATAGAATATGGTATTTCATTACCATGAACGACTTTAGACAGATAAAAGCAGCTATAAAAATTACGCGTGTGAATCTAGGTGATTCGAGGGAGCCACAGGTGTTTGAGATTTCATATTATGAATGTGGATTTTCATTTTTCACCAAATCTCCAGCTTTCTACTCCCCTATGGACTGTCTGATGTTGCACCAGTCTGCATGAAAATGTAAGGTGTCTGTCTTAATGATGGGGGCAACATTCAAAATATAATTATATTCGATCAAAATGAAATAATCAATTATTTCAATCAAACTCAAAACACATTTGGCAGGATTTAGAATTAGCATTAAATCAGTTTCATAAAATGGTGGAAAAACATATGAGCTGTTTAAACATATCCAATCTTATTTTATATGTTTCGAAATAAAATATTTGGATGCTCTCGGGTTAGCACCCATCTTTTGCTGACCATCGTTAAAGTTTTGACATGTAGGACCGAGTGAGATAGCTATGCAGGAAGAAAGATTCTCATGAGGCCAAAGCAATCAAATTGGTTGCTCTGGATTAGTTCAGAGTTTCAAACATAGAAGATTGGTTTCATTGGTATCAGTGTTCATAAAAATTCAACCATGGGTCCTAGGCGGTCGATGACTTCAGAAATTCAGATAAATAAACCAAGGAATTCTCCCTTACCATCATTTCATGGTCCCCCATAATCTCTGCTATTAACTCCCCTACTGGTTTATTGGCACCGTTGGGAACAAGAGCAGCATATACAGCTGGTTCAAGTCCTGCACCATAAGAAAATCAAGACTGAGAGAGAGAGAGAGAGAGTTTTGCTCTGCTTCTCTGGTCATGGTGCTAGTGGTGATCATACTATAACAGACCCGTGCTGTTTTCAGAATGACAATATGGAGAAAGAGAGTAAAGGAATATGCAAATGATCAAATGTACTTTTGGATTTTAAAAGATCCCAAGTCCCAACTTCTCCTTAAAATGAAAAAGAAGAGGGTAATCTTTTCAATACCAGTTTCTGGAAAAGTGTCGATGAACATCATCATTTCCTCTCCGCTAAGACCGGATAAGAAGCAGATTCGTGGCAATGATCTTGCTATCTGTAGAAACAATATACATGGTGTTAGTGACATTACAGTATCACATTAACAAAGAATGTTATGTGAGAATAATCAAGATCTGCAACTCATTGATTTGATCTGTTTTCATGCTTCAAAAGTTAGATTCTTTATGAGAACAATATAGCAAGCACATACTAAACTAAAAATGTAAAAATTCAGGAAGTCCAGAACTTGACCTTCACGTTTGCCAAAACTGGCTGGCTTGTATGCACTGCGTCCCACAGGGATCTGGCAATCATGTCTTCAGTACAAAGAATAACCTACACTAAAAAAACTGTTCGACAGATTATTTATGTTGGTAGTTTTGTGCAATCTGTTGTTAGAGATGATTAAGAAATTTATGCAATGTGTAAGACAACACACGTAGCATGCCAGAACTACTTCACAGAGACTTGCTACCGTGATGGGAATTCTTTTATTTACATGTATTCGATTAGACAAAAAAATATCAGGGAACTAGATGAGATCGACCAATTTTTTTGGTTTGAAGTTCAGAAAGGAGGTTGCCAAAGAAAAGTTTCCCAACCTATAGGATCAGAAGATAATGCATGATATGGGGAAAAATGTTAAATATACATAAATAGTAATTTGAACCGAAAGATTGTGAAAAATAGATTAAACCATGAGTTTGCACTAGAAAAATCTCTTGGAATAATCACTTATCAGTAATGCACTTGGTTACATTTAGCATAATATCAAGCGAGTTTTAACTTTTCACACGAGATTTGGATTGATGATTAGAGGGTTAATTTTCCACAATTAGTGCTTCAATGCATTGAACAACATTTTCATATTTTATTCTACTATTCTTAATAACAACCGCCTTTCATCTTACCTAAAAGTAATTGGACACGAGGGGAAATGAACTACCTGCATGAATTCACCGCCCAAATCTTTCAAAAGCTCTTGAATCTGTAATCAAATGTAAAGCAAAAAATCAAACGGGGTAGTAGTTTTCGAAACTAGCATTTCAAAGCTAAAGGATAAGTGAGGAGACAAGGAGTTTGTAGGTGCCCGCTTGGCTGTTTTGGTTATATAGTGTCGTAGTGACTGAATAGCAGAACTTTGAATGAAGTTGCTTAGCGTTTCTTTATAAGAATATATTATGAAGGTTCAGGCAAAGAAAAAAGCAGTGACTATAAATAATAAACCTCAACCCTCCATACAATTAAATTTGACCTCTAAAAGAACTAACCAGAAGGTGTTGTCACGATCTGTAGGATAAACAACACAAAATCTAGAAAAAATCTCCAAGTACCAAAAAAATTCGTGAGAAATAAGTGCATTAGAGGACTGAAAGACCATACTGCAAGCGTAGTTAGCTAATAATGAAAGCATTCCTCAATAAATTTTGACAATAGCATTTGCAAGCATTTGTAAATTGTAGCACAGTAGACATTCGAAGCGTGGTCCACTAATAAATATCAGAAAGGAAGTGCATTCCTTTGCTCTCTTCCTTCCGAAAATACTTGAAGAACTAGAAAGCAAAACCAAACAGTTTGCAGAATCACCTCCTTAACTAACCGGCAGATTATCCACTAAACAGTAAAAGAACTATACTCCACCAGGAGTTTGGTTTCTACTTTCACTTAGCAGTATGATTTTTACTTTATTTTAGTTTTCAGATGTTGAAGCGCAGAAAGAAGGAAAAAAATCAACACCGTACCTTCATGGCCTCCTCCAATTCAAAGCCCAGTAACAGCAATGCCTGCAATAATGAACAGTCTAAATATCAACCTGCTTTCCCCTATTCTAATTCCATAAAGAAACGCAAAGGAAGCATTTAAAGACATAATTTCATACATTACAGGATGAAAAACCCAAGGGAAATCATAAAATAACACTTATCCTATGAGACAAACAGAATCCAAAATGAAAATTATGAAGGTGATGACGACAACTAATACATATGGTACGTACACATCCAAGAGCATTCAACTTAATAGTACAATAAACATAAAATACAGGAGCTCAATTTAAATTAAAACCCAATTCTCAGACAATAAGTAAAGTGAAAACATATACAACAATCAAAATGAAAATCCACCGAAAAGAAGCAACGAGAGATAAACCACGTCAACAATTGCGCTGAAACTAACCAGAACTTACAGGTGGACCATATCTGGGATCATCAGCATTCAAGGGAACAAACTTAGAATCTTCGACTAACTCATTAGGGGCTCCTGTAGGAGTGAAACAAGTTATGCCGTATGAAAAGAAACAGTGATACTGTGCTATATACAAGCCACCGCCCTTGCAAATTATTTCCAGATTTTTAGAGATTCTAAGCCTTTTGTAATCAGGAAAAACGCGAATGAAATAGCTGAAGATTTCTCAGAAATCCCGATTCAAAATCGTAAAACGCTTTCTAATGGGTAGCGTCTCAAACAACTCGAAACGTATATCTAAAGTAAAATTCCCATGATTGCGAAGTGGAAGAGTGTGAGAAGGGAGAGAAACATACCTTCAGAAGACGCTCTGAGAGGTTGTTTGAGCTTAAACTTGAGGGGATTACTAACAGAAGAAACGGATGGTGCTGAAATTTGGGAAGGCGCGACATTAATGGCGTGGAAGTGAGTGCTTGCAATTGCAAGCGCGCGAGAGTTGAGAAGGCGACGCGGAGAGAAGGAAAGAGGCGAAGCCATGGGAGCTCTCTGCTTTCTGTGTTATCCCCAACGTCGTCAGCTAAGCTGTACGTCTCTTACCATAACCGCTGCTGCGTAAAGTATCGTTAGACGAATAAAGGCAATTTGCTCTTAAAAAAAATATAAAATAAAATAAAAAGAAATAAAGGCTTTGCTCTTGACCATTTTTACGACAACACACGTTGGCCGATTGAAATCAATACATTAATTATTTATACATAGATCAAAATTTTATATTTATACTAATTATATATGATAGAGCAATTCCAATATTCAATATAATTTTTTGTATTTAGATAAATTAGGAACAACTAAAGTCATGTAACATATTAGATGCATTTTGGTCTAACTACTTTGACTAGTTAGTTGTTTAATTTGTAACTAATCATTCGATTATGTTATTTCTCATATTAGTCTATGCATTGGAGAACTCTAATGAGATGAGAAATACCATATTATTTTTATTATGATATCAGGGTATTTTTAATTTTCTTTTCCTTTCTCACATGGCGCCTATGGATCCTCCTCCCACACTTCGTGAAAATCCTCTGGTCATCACCATCTCCATCATAGCTATACATCTAGTCTTGTTCTTATCACACAGCAACTCACCATGTCATGGAACAGGTCAATGATCATTGCTCTTTCCATCAAAAACAAATTTACGGTACAATTAAGAAGTCTACATGCGATCTTCTCTCTATTTGGATTTTTAATTTCGTTTTCAAGCCAATCTCTGCAAGTTTGATTTTCTCTTATTCGACAAAGACAATTTGGCTTGATCTCAAAGAGCGATTTCAGAAGAAGAATGGTCTAAGAATCTTCCCACTCAAGTGTAATTTGGCCAATTTAACTCAATATCAGTGCTTGTCACTATGTAGCTTGTAGTTGTGGTAAATGTACTGGTCAAGTAATAAGCTAATTGAAGATTTTTTTCAATTCGAATACCTCATGAGTTTTCTAATGGGTTTGAACGAGTCTTTTGCATCAACTCGTGTGCAAATTTTGCTCATGGATCCACCACCTTCCATCAACAAGGCATTTTCATTAATTTCTCAAGAAGAGCAACAACGCTTCATCCCTATTTTCCCATTATTTTCCCATTATTTTCCCATCTCCTGCTCTCAGCATTGCTGTTCAATAGAGTATTCGTCAATTGAATGCATCTACTTCTAATTCCTCTCGCGGACGTAAAGAGCGACCTATTTGCACTCATTGTGGTCTTCAAAGCCACACCTTCGATCAATGTTACAAACTCCATGGCTATCTGGCTGGATACAGACAGAAAGCTATTTCTCGAAATTTAACTTCTAACTCATCAATTCCTTATGGACAAGGAGTCGCATCGCAAAATTCCACACCTCCAATGACCGCCATTGATCCGATGTGAGTTCATCTGTTAATTCGATGGTTGTCAGAATCTCCTCAAATGATCCGATCCTCCCATCCGATTTTCTATGCAGCTGGCTGATATGTTCACTAAAACCCTTCCTACTTCTGCTTTGTTTCCCTTATTATTCAAGATGGGCGTTTTGGTTATATCCTCCATCTTGAGGGGGCGTATTAGATGTATTTTGATCCAACTACTTTGACTAGTTAGTTGTTTGATTTGTAACTAATTATTTATTTTCCATATTAGTCGTTTAGTGGGAACTCTAATGAGATGAGAGAGTGATTCATATTTGACTATATTGTTTTTATTATAACATTTATGTTATGTGTTTATGTGAGTCCGCTTAGAGCATGACCGCCCACCAATTAGTTTAGTTAATCACAGATATATTTTAGTTAATAGTTTTATAGTGGATATACTGAATTACCATCCTAAACCCTAAAATATTATTGTGACAAAATATTTTTTTTTTTTGGTAGTGTTTATGTTTTTTAAAGCAAAGGACAAAATGCAACGCTACGCCAACACTTAGTTCCTAATCTGTAAATTAAACCGAAACCCTAAGCCAATTTCAATGGCGGATTTGTGGAAACGCTAGGGCTGGGGCTGAGTGACGACGGCGGAAACCATAGTATTCATCCCACACATCCCGTGGCCGCGGCAGAGACGATAATACCCCTGCTCCCC